TTTTATTTTTTATTATTTTTTATTATACATTTATTTTGATGGGTGAAACCAAAAGATAATCTTTAGAACAACTGAATAATGTGAATAAAAACTAATAAACTAGCTAATATTAATCTTGAGTTTCAAAACCAACAAATATAAATCTTTATTTTCAACTCTGAATTCTGATTCATTGTGCCTGATTCAAAGATCAAATATCTGATATATGCACACCATTGACCAAACATCAATTGAATTATTTAACTGTATACTGCAAATCATATTTTTGCATTGCTCCATTATTTTGCTATACTTTATACTTTACAGCAAAATCTGCATGTCTGTGAGGTTATTGTGAAAACTGTAGCAATGTTTTGGCACCTTACATGTCAGCATGAAATATGATATAAACAGTTTAGCTTTGAGTTTTTGAACCTACTCTTGCATCCCAGACACGTATTCTCGTCACTGCCTTCCTCGTGAATGAATATGCAGAATGCTGTGAACTCTGTCGAAGAGGACACAACCGAGTGTGTACATGGTCACAATATGTGTTGGTTCTGTAAATCACCCCGAGCTGCCGTCATTCGTTCTCAGTGTGTGCATACTCCATGATAGCATCTCCATGCGCTGACTCTACTGATCCCGGGACAGACATTTAAGAGCTCTGCTGAATTTCTTTGGACTGTTCTTACACAGCAGACTGGCCTTTCAGAGCACATTTGCTCTAATTGAATGGGATTTCTTGACTCTCTCTGTCTCTATCTCTCTCTAGACCTGCTCTAAGGGGAACATGGTCCTGCACAGCTACGGCATGCTGCTGCCCTGTGGCATCGATAAGTTCCACGGCACTGACTACGTCTGCTGCCCATCTACTCCTGTTTCACCTTCTATAGAGCTAGATGATGAGGATGAAGACGAGGACGAGGAGGTGGAGGAGCCTGTCGTTGAGGATGAGGATGAAGAAGCAGTAGAGGAGAGGTAATGTAGTGCATACATATGATCTTCTGAAAGGAGTCGTAGGGCCTGTTTACACCAAGGACGATGATTATAATGATGAGGATAAAGATGGTTTTAAAAATAATTCTAAATATAAAAGAGTAGCAGAGTCTACACCACAACTACAGGGATAACGACACGGGATCAATATCATTGGAATCACTTTCAGAACGATTTTATCCAGCTGATCAACAATACAAATATTGACAGTCAATTAGAATTAGAGTTTAACATGGCAGACGATTTAAAGGGTTAGTTCACCCAAACATTTTAATTCTGTCATTAATTACTCACCCTCGTGTTGTTCGAAACCCGTAAGACCTTCGTTCATCTTCGGAACACAATTTAAGATATTTTTGATGAAATCTGAGGGCTCTCTGACCCTCCCATAGACAGCAAGGTAACTACCACGTTCAAGGTCCAGAAAAGTACCAAGATGATCGACAAAGTAGTCCGTGTGACATCAGTGGTTCAACTGTAATGTTACGAAGCTACCAGAGTACTTTTTTGACGTGATGACGTCATTACGCCAGATCTGGGTCAGCGCCACCACACGCTCGCGTCATGATACTGTTGTGAACACGCGTCCAAAGTGAATGTGGAATAAAGTCGTTATTTTTGTTTTCTTTGCGCAAAAAAGTTTTCTCGTAGCTTGAACCACTGATGTCACACGGACTACTTTGTCAATCGTCTTGGTACTTTTCTGGACCTTGAACGTGGTAGCTACCTTGCTGTCTATGGGAGGGTCAGAGAGCCCTCAGATTTCATCAAAAATATCTTAAATTGTGTTCCGAAGATGAACGAAGGTCTTACGGGTTTCGAACAACACGAGGGTGAGTAATTAATGACAGAATTTTCATTTTTGGGTGAACTAACCCTTTAACTTTAGCGCATGCTTATAATAAGCAGAAGATTTTTGTGCATTGGTGTCGATGCTAATGTATAGTTATCTTTATTGTTATTGGTTTTAGTGTAAACGGGCCTTTAGTTCACTGTGAGGTTTGTGGTTTCAGAATTAAAGGCATAATAATTTACCACAATTCCAATTAAATTAATTTAACACAATTTACCGGACACCATCAACAAGAAAACATTATTATAATTTTTATGTTCACAGATAAATTGTATTGAAACTTTGCCACACAAGGCCAAGGTTGTGTGTTTTGTCATTTGATTTTTTTAGGCGTTTTTTGTATCTCCGATCAGTTTTAATTGGCTCCAAAGGTTTAGAGCAGTTTTAAGAAATCCTATAGAATGAAATGAAACTATTTTAATGTCTATTTATATGTATGCACTATTGTTCAAATGTTTAAGATTTCTTGTGCTCGCCAAGGCTGCATTTATTTGATCAAAAATACAGTGAACTTTTACTACAATTTAAAATACCTGTTTTCTATTTGAATATATTTTAAAGTGTAATTTATTCCTGTG